CTGAGTAGTTTGTTACGTAACTATTCAAAAATTGCAGGTGCAAGCTATTGAAAACAGAATCGAATAGCCAAGCTTCCCTATTCATTGGTGCCCTGTTATAGAATTCGTAGCATATACTGAATTGAATAGACCCGTGTTCTATTCATTATACTATGTGAGGGCAGTGGCCTCTTGTCATATCACTTTAAGTTTAAGTCAGCAGTTTGCAAATTAAATGAAATAAACATAAAACCTCACTATTATATCAGTAATATCAGTAACTGAAAGAAAAAAAATACGGGCAATCTTGACAACATCGGACTACAAAAATAATGATAATAATGCATCCCGAAAGCGTCAAATCAGTAAATCGGCACATTTTGTAAAGTCATTAGCATGCAGAAAGTGTTAACAACAAAAAGCGAACCAGTTATCACGGTGAGGCAAAATGGTCTTGTGGATAAAAGTGTTGAATAAAATGTATAAATGTACAATCCAACCTATATCAGATTATGCATGCTCGATATGGGGGAAACGTTCTGTATATAACAAGAACATTATTTCTAGATTACAAAAAAGAGCAGCAAGAATAGTTGAACGGAATTTCGATTTTAATAAAAGTAGTCTTGATATTGTTAAAAGATTGAAATGGTAGGTTTTAGAAGAAAGACGTAACTATTTTATTGCTTGTATAATGTATAAATGTATCCATGGCTACGCTCCATTATGTTTGTGCAATGCTATTGACATGGTTTTTGAACGGCATCCAATGAATACGAGATTGGCTAACTCAATGAGTGTTGTCCTTCCCAAGCCTAATATTGAAATTTTCAAGAATAGTCTACGTTATGCAGGTGGCAAAGTATGGAATAACTTACCCTCTAATCTACAAAATGCACAATCCATCGACTGTTTTAAAAACATGTATAAGAAAACCTATTAAAGCAAACATATTAAAGCAAATTATAAATAATATCATCGTTGTTTCTGCTCTTTTTGCTTTGATTTGGTATTTCATGATATAAGTTTATTTTGTAGTGTGATAGAGTTTTGATTTTAAAGAGATTAGTTGATTACCCGGCCCCCCCACTCAGTGTTATTTAGGGTACGCATATGCGTGTTCCAACCGACCCCCCCTTTTCAGCAAAAGTCCGGTGTGTAAAGTCAATACGGCTCGACCTTTTTCTTTTGTATACGAGCCTTTTTCCGCACCCCCCCCCCCTTTTCAGCAAAAGTCCGGTGTGTAAAGTCAATACGGCTCGACCTTTTTCTTTTGTTACGAAAAGGACATTTTGGCAACACGCATGCGGTCATTTTGAAACCTGAGTGGGGGGGGGGGGGGCCGGGGTTGATTATTTGATTCCATTATTGTGTGTTTATATATTTAATTAAATATCATGCAATTTTGACTTGGTTTTTACTCAAGATTATGGTCACTAAATATTTTTATCATGACTTCATGAGTATTTTAACAATTCTCATTATATATATATGTATGATTATTTTGTTTTGATGTTTTAGTGTAAGCTTTTAATATTCAGGACCAGGATGTAAACCAGTCCTTTTTTATCTTGTTATCCTGATGAAATATGTTCAAATAAATAAATTCCTCGGCGATCTGAATGTATACGCTATCTTTCCTCAGCTTCGCTTCGGAAAGATAGCTACATCCAGATCGCCTCGGAAGTGATAGTTTGCCCCATCACCTTCATCACTAATTATTTGCTTACTATCCTATAATGCTATCCCGTAATATACCAGTTCGTTGATACAATCTGCGCATGCGCAGATATAGGTCACTTGTACAAAATTGTAAAATCCACTGAGATTAATACTGGATACATGCTCACGAAAGTTATGTAAATCATTATTCATGCATGCACCTGTGATAAATTCTATTAAACACATGCATATAGAAGTAATCCTTTCAAGACGGCAAACAAAGAATCACCTCCATGACTTTAGCTGTGATTATTCCAAAGGCACAAAGTAGGATTTATCTATGTTTAAAAGATCTGTGGATATTTGGGGTCATCTGAACCATCTGCTAACTACGAACTGGTCTATTTCGATCCACTCAACAGGTTTCTAAGGTAACATATGTCCCCCCAAAAAAACAAAAAAACAATCAAAAAAACCCACCTCTCTAAAAGCCATTGGAGCCGATAGGTATTCCAAATCTCATCATTCCTCAATGTCTCAACATTCAACTTCGAGTGTAGAATGAGAAATTTAATTTCCATTGGTCTTATTGTAGGCATGATTATTATTTGTGTGTTTATTTTGAAGAAAGTTTCGGTTGGGATAATATAATGAACTACATGATGTCTAAAATCACTTATTAATTTGGTGAGCCTAAACGTAACCTTGTAGGACAATCTACCTAGTAAACCGAGTTTATTTCGTTTTTTTTTTATCGAAGGTTTATAATTCCGAAAAGTTCATTATTTCGAAGATATATAAATTCAAAAGATTCACAATTCCCAAGGTTTATTTATCAGAAAGGTTCTTTATTCCAACAGTTCATAATTCCGAGGTTCGTTTCTCCGGATGCTCGTCATTTCAAAGGTTTATAATGATAAATCAGGAAATGAAATAGGATTCTTTCTTCACCATTACAAACCTTGTCCGGAGTAGTGAACCCTATTTTATTCTCAGAATTCGAATAAACGAACTTTTGAAAGTACTAACACTCAGGAGAAAACGATGTCACCATTATTTTACCAAAGCGAGAGCATTAAAGTGTGACGCGTTATTGGTATGTGTTGGGCAGGTAATGTGATGAGACTTGATATCAAATTGACTAATTGTGCAAAACGTTCGTTTTTTTCTTTCTTGTATCATACCTATCAATTTAATCAGCTTGTTTCTATCGTAACGTGCATTTCAACAACTATTTTCCTCAACTTAACCAGCTTGGTTCTATGGTAACTTCAACACCAAAAATGGTCGATGCTTTCCCTTAATGCTATCCCATAGTTTCGATCCACTCAATATGTTTCTAAGGTAACGTGTGTTTTCCACAAACAAAAGATACAACTCCACCCCTCTAAAAATCATTGGCGCTGAAAGGTATTCCAATGAAGCTGACTCCTAATCTTCTATTCACTTTTAGCGTAACATGTATTTTCACGAGCAACATTATGTACGTCCCAAACCTCAAAACAAGTTATTCGGCGCTAATACCTATCTAATAGAGATAGCCCCTAAATTCGATCCAAAACTTTGATGTTTATGAGATCAATGTTTATGAAAGCAAAAACAAATAAACAAACAAATCTTATCAGGGCTAATAGCTTTATCAATGAGCTATCCCCTATTTCGAGCCAAAGGTATAATGTTACTGAGATAACGAGCATTTTCTCACCGAAAGCAAAAACAAAGAAACAAGAATCATCGGCGTTAATAGCTATCCCATAATTTCTGTTCACAACACAACAAGCTGCTAAAATAACGGGTGACATTTCAAACAAAAACTAAAACCAAACAATAATCATATTAGCTACACCCCTTGGAGGGCTATCCAATCATCTATCCCATAAATTTCAACCCACCAATCGTCATCGTAATTCGATCTACCAGCTGGCAGTATTTCCTTTTTAATCTATCTGTATATATTAATCCCGTCCTCATATGAGCTAACCGCCTGCGGAGAAGGAAAATGTACCATTTACCATTTACAATTGGTCGAACGTAGTCATCCAGTCGTATATGTCTCCTGCGATTTCAATTGATCGGTAGCTTTAGCCTACAGTTTTAATATTACGGTTAATATTTCCCGCCTTTCTGTATTCAAGCATCTGTTTTCTTCGTTGTCAAATTTGTTCATTTTTTTATCCGAGAAAGATGTCAGGTTTTCAGCGTGCTGTTTGATCATTGAAGCCCTTGAAGATTCACTTGTAAAATGGTTAGTACGGTATTTTATTGTTTTTGTTTCGAACGTAGTGAAATGACCACCAGGAGCCTGATTTGATTTCATTGCCGTTTTACTTGTTGTCCGTTTCAATATAAGCATACACATGATTTCTTTCTAGGTTTAGACAATGACTTTCTTTGGAAGGATGTATTTTCACTTAAATTATAGCAAATTCATAATAATAAAGTTAAACAATTTAATTTAAAGATGATTTACATGATTATTGCCTCAAAAGAAAATATATATAAATGGCAAATTGTGAATAACAATTTATGCAGCACTTGTTAACAAAAAAAAAAAGTTGATTTAAGGTTTCACTCTTTGTTGTATTGCAAGGATGTGACTATGTTTAGGAAAATAATATGTAATACGATATTCCACCTATTCCAAGTACAACTTCAAATGAACCAAATATGCTAGTTGCTCTTGTTTTTGCTCTTGTTCTTGTTCTAGTTTGTTTATGCAATGTTAACATTTTTTATAAATACAGGCTAACGACCAAAAGATCGGTGTAATGTGGAAGTTGCTGTTGGGTACCGTAACCTGTTTGTCCTTTGGTAAGAATAAATGTGACTCATAATTATGCGTCATATTTTCATGATTTTACGAATGCTGCTGTAAAATTTGGCTTACAAAATTACCATAAAAAGCTAAAATTCCATTCCTAAGGGGTACGGGAGGGGAAGGTGGAGAGGAAGGAGAGATGGTGAGAGGGGGAGAACAGCGAGAAGGAGTAGGGGACAGGGAGGAAGAGAAGGAGGAGGGAGATGTTAAGACGGAGAAAGGGAAGGATATTGAGGAAGAGGATGAGAAGGAATAGAGGGGAAAGGGAATTATGCTAAAGGGGAGGAGGAGGGGATGATGAGGGAGGGGAGGTAGGAGAGGAGGGAAAGCGTGAAGAGGAAGAGGAGGAGGAGTGGAGGCGAGGGAGGAAGAGGGGAGGATCTGGAAGGGGAGGGGAGAAGGAGGAGGAGGGATAGCAGGAAGAGGAAGAGCTTACTATCGATTTTTTTTTCACACAGCCTTGCTTGTTTTATCGGATTCGTCCAAGCTGACATCTTGTCCAGGCGAGTTCAACCAGCAAAGCACCTTGCCGACAGCCTATAGGTGTAAGATGGTACGACTACCCGATGGCACCATGTTGCAGACCGTCCCAAAACTCTTCTCTCCCCCTGCCGTCTTCGCTGGAAAAAATCCTGGCCATAACATAATATGCAGAATCCCGGGTAAATCTCATGCTTTCTTGATATTTATCCTTATTTATAATACAGATCATACATTTTTAAATGATATCATGAATATCCACGCCCACTATTATCATAACTACTATCAATACTATGATTATTACTAGAGTTCTACTACTACTACTACTACTACTACTACTACTACTACTACTTCTAGGAATGTTTAAGTGGTACGGCTTCATTGGGGGTCGGGTTCGAAGGGGCAGAACCCCCCTTGAAGCTTTTGCAATTTGAAAAATGAAATGACAATTTCTATGGTACGTTGATACAAGTAGAAATTTAGTGGCGCAATGAGCAAAAATGTTGGGGGGGGGGATCCGCATCACCAATATTATTACATGTTACATGCAGGCCCCGCGGAACGTTTTTCAAAGTGAGGAAGGGGGGGGGGGCTAAAGTATTTACGATCAGTTATGGTTAAGGAGCATTTATTTATTATTTCAAAAACAAATTGAGGGCGTGGTTAACCCCTAAAACACCACCCCCACCTGCATACGCGCCTGACAACAACAACCACTACTTCTAGAGGTCTACTGAAGATCTAAATAGGGCAAGGTTGTACGATACTTGTTTCTGACGGAAATTGCTCTATGTCAATTTCTATTATACACTGACTATGACCGATTTCTTAAAGGGCAATCCATACGTTGTTACATATTCATTTGTATGAAAGCATAAACGTAAGAGAGAAAGATTGGCAAAATAAATCGTATTAATTCCAAGCGAGTTATAAATGATTGAAATATGAGATCACTAAATGTGTTTTTAGCTTTTTTTAAAATTTGTTATCCTATTTTATTCAGCTTCTCTGATTTTTCTGCTCTCCTTTAGAGTAGTTGTCGATTTAGATTGGATTTTCCTGTGACGGGAACAAACACTTAACCGAACCCTAACTATACACCTCTAAAAAAAAATGAAGCCAGGTACAATTATTAACAGGGGATACAAATAAATTTGGTCGGCAAGGGAGGTGAATATCACCAGGTAAAGTACTGAATTTGAGAATGGGCACTGAATGGACATTGAAATGGGTATCCGATGGCTTTGGAGTATGGGTCTCCGTGGCGTTTGCTATGTTTAAGCCCTGGTAAAAATGCATTATCATTAGGCTTGCTTATCTTTTTTATGTTAATTTGTGAAAATCCCGAAATATATCTTTTCACACCAAACAAAATTTGTATTGATGATTGTTTGGCAGTATTGAGGTTTTATCCCATTTATTACTTATTTCGCAGATTGTGGCAAAAACCTCTGTAAAAACGGCTGGTGTGAGGAGACTATGGGAGGCTACAACTGTACCTGCTCAAGTGGGTTTCAAGGGAGACACTGCGATGAAAGTAGGTGTAATAATTATATAGGCGTATCGGGGGGGGGGGAGGGAGTGGTCAATTTATTAACAAAGAGCGTGAAGAGACATTTTACAGGGTGTAAACAAAACTTGCATGCAGTTTGCTGAATCTTTCATCAGACATTGTACATACATTCTGCACTGCACCTCACCAGTACGACAATACACGACGGTGGCCGATGCTGCAACTGAAGAAGAAGAAAAAGATGATGATGATTTAGAAGAAAATACCTCTTTTGGAATTTTTTGATAGAACTGACGGATTCCCGCACGAAAAGTGTTTTTCGATTTCTATTTTTCTCCCCTCCTTGATCCTTTCCCCGTACCCTGACTAAGAGCGCCTGGAGATATTTCAATGAAAATAATGTTATGCATTGTCATTTACGTCAGTTATGTTTGTATGTTGTTGTTATTTTCAGTGATCATAGAGTCAACGAAGGAAGCAACGAATAAGCCTACGACGAACCCTACGACTACGATGACGGAACGCTCAGACACAACGACTTCCCAAACCATCACTACCTTTGGTATGTCTAGGCAATAGTATCATGGAAATGACGTCATGCATTTTATCATTATCATAATGGGTCTAGCCACTATATCCCCCTTGTTTTTTCTCTCTCTCTCCCTCTCTCTCTCCCTCTCTCTCTCTCGGTCTTTACCTGACTCCATTTTTTCAGTCCTTTCCTTTCTTTTCTCAGTGTTATATTGCTCTGGTTCAAAGCATAACGAGCCAGAGCAAATAAAACTGAGTTCCTTTAGGAAATCTATTTATTCAGATGGTCATATCTCAGCCAATACTTAACATGTTCGATTGTTTTTCGACATTTGGACATGCTCTTTGGAAAATGAAGAAAAAATTGAGAAATTCCAAAAATAGATTTGTATGATGTCACAGCTTCGGTACTCTATTACTTCATTAAATAAATAGACTGATACAGTTCATATATTTCATGAAGCTCAATTTTCTTCGTTTTGGACTTCTAACTAATCGTATTGCTTTGTACGTGTAGTTTCATTTGTTACAACCCTGAAGTTCCCCTCAACGTTCCATCTACAGGTCCATTAACAAAAAGCGAGTAAAACATTAAATGCGCACTTATATTATGAACCTGCTTTTGCTATTTTCGGATCAATTAAGTATTCACCATTCAGTCAATATATCCTTGCCTAAGCCTAAAAAGGAGATTGATTTTCCATCAGTCAAATCAAACAGCAAATAGGCTCACCGGAAAGATTATTATTAAATCATAATCGATACTACTACAAAAAACATGTGTTGATTGAATGAGCTAAAAAGGAGGTTGGTCATGCCATACGAGTTAGGTACATACAAGGCCTTTTTATTAAAGCCCCCATCACACCAAACTAGTTCTCACTACGTTTTGGAACCGTCCCAGAAAATTGTAAAACGGGTTGTGGTCGGAGTAGAATTTGTAAAAAAAATGTCTATAACATGACCCTAGTTCGATCATAAACAGTCCCCAATGCGTTCATCTCGTCTGTACCCCATCCACAGTCAGTTCATATCAAGTTCTGATCGGGTAAATTTGCCATTTCCAGGCAGTTCAAGTCAGTCCGTAGTCAGTTTATACCCGTTTTTAACTAGTTCGAACCTTGTTACCAATACAACCATACCCATTCTAACAAGTTCAGAGACAGTTCAGCTAGTCCTCATCTCGTCCTTGGTGCGTTCGAACGCGCTCCTAGAGCGTGTGGAATCACGTCCTGGCTCAAGGGTTATAAAACCCGAGCGCGTCATAGACATTATTTACAAATTCTACTCCGACCACAATCTGTTTTACGATTTTCTGGGACGGTTCCAAAACGTAGTGAGAACAAGTTTGGTGTGATGGGGGCTTAACCGGCATGGCTTAAGTAATTTTAGATGAACTAAATTAGTCTCTTTCGTAGAAACACGTATAGAAAAAAACACAACTGTGGACCGGTACGGTATTTCTTGTTTTTTTTAAACGGTCGTTCATTTAAAAAATAAACACACAGAGATGAGTTAACGCTGTATAGCAGGCGACGAAGGGGGTTGGGGGGGGGGGGATCAACAGCAGAGTTAGATGGTTTTCATTTTGAGGAATGCATCTCCTTCCAGAGGATAGTCCGGTCCGTCCAATAATTGAAAGGTTGCTCTTTGAGAAACTAGAAATACTCCTCATTCTGTGAAGAAGAAACAAAATGCAAAGTTGCCCTTCCTGATGGCAAGGTCTGGAGGTGAGCAGCTTTAATAGGAAACAAGGATGGAATAAACTTTGGTAGAATAAGTTCTGGTGTTATCCTTTGAATTAATTCCAACTACACGCAGATATTATGGCATTGCCTTTATCAAAAGAGCGAAAATTTCATTAAAAAGAGTCAACGCTTTTTGCAGTTTTCATTTATTTTTATTTTTATGGGAGGGGGGGGGGACGAGCGAAGGTTATACATTAATGATTATAATGAATGACGTAATGTAGTTTTCAGATTTCGCAGAGCTTCCAGATATCTAATTTAATCAAAAATCAATTTCATTGTTACATTACATGAGGGTGTCTCGAAAGAAATTTGTACTTCGTTGGATGATGTGTCTCTTGTCTTTTTATTCTTTTGCACTTCATTTGAATGTGTATGCTTTTTTATGTAATTTTTTTGTGGTATAATTCATGCCTAGAATATAGAATACAAACAAATAAGTGCTTGAATTCTTTAATGTTATTTATTTACTCCGAACGATGTTTTAAAGTTTAAAATATTGAGTTATGGAGTCCAGTTATATCAACTTCTTACATGCATATTATGTGGTGTAATTTCAGCGTGTGTATCGAACCCCTGTCAACATGGAGGAACCTGTGAGGAAACGGGTGAGGGATTTAACTGCACTTGCCTGGATAGCTACCGTGGAGACAGATGCGAATACGGTAAGAGGAGGAAACTATTACATGAGAAAGGGAGAGATCAAAGAAGCGGCGATATAGACAGAGAGAGAGAAAGAGAGAGAGAGAGAGAGACAGACAGAGAGAGAGAGAGCGACATATAGGCAAATAGAAACAGAGACAGAGAAAGAGAAAGAGAGACAAGAGATTGAGCAATTGAGAGACAGAGGGAGAGACAGAGAGCCAGACAGAGGCAGAGAGATAGAAAGAGAAAGAGAGAGGGGGACTAACTCCACAACAACAACAACCTCTGGATTAATAAAAAAACAAGTTCAAGAGCTATTGTTCTTTTTTTTTTTGGGGGGGGGGGGGGAGTATTGTGGTACGTGGTGATATGATTTAATATTGGTGAAGGCTCGTTTCAATAACTCTCATATGAATGGTCCGGGATCGGTCCTTGGTCAGTGCTGATATTTTTGGAACAGGGTCATTACGTTTTGTATTTTGGCTCAATTCATTGCATGAAGACTCCCTCGTCCAGTCCGTGAGACTAGTCGGTGGAAGGAAAAGTGAAGGAAGAGTAGTTATCACATCTCGTTCTCGCCCTACAACCTACATGTTAATCCATCAATTAAACTGGTCCAGGAACGCTTCACGGTTGGTCTGCAAGTATCTAGGATATGAAGGTAAGTGCTTTATATACTAAAGCCACCATCACACCGAACTAGTTCTCAATACGTTCTGGAAAATGTTGCCAAACGGGCTCAAACTGTGTGCGAACAGAGTTGAACGTAGGAGCAACTTTTTACGATCTGTTTAAGAACTTCATGGACGGGCTAAGGCTGGATTTACGGGAGAGTGCTCTAGAACTTTGAGCCTGTTCAAAGTTGTCCCCGTCCTGCAATTAGACGGAGTGACAACGTACTTAAACGAGGAGCCCGTCCATGAATTCTTAACTAGATCATAAACAGTTTGAGCACGTTTGGCAACATTTTACAGAACGTTTTGAGAACTACTTTGGTGTGATGGGGGCTTCACTTGAATGTCTTGATTTGCACAGCTTGAATCGTTGAAGTTGAACGAGAATACGGAATGGCAAGAACGCGCTGGGGTTTTATAACCCTTGAGCCAGGACGCGCTTCCACACGCTTTAGGAGCGCGTTCGAACGCGATGAGGACGAGTTGAACTGTCTCTGAACTTGTTAGAATGGGTTTGGTCATATTGGGGACGAGTTAGAACTAGTAAATAACGGGTATAAACTGGCTTGAACTGCCTGGAAATGGCAAATTTACCCGATCTGAACTTCATATGAACTGACTGTGCACGGGGTAGAGACAAGATGTACGTATTGAGGACTGTTTATGAACGAACTACGGGGCGTATTAAAGACACTATGTACACATTATGCCCCGACCACAATTCGTTTTACGATTTTCTAGGACGGTTCCAAAACGTAGTGAGAGCTAGTTTAGTGTGATGGGGGCTTTAAACACACCAAGGAAACCGACATCAAGTGCAACGTTTCCGCCATGTCCATTTTTTCCTTCTACTTATCCTCTTTTGAGGGATTTTATTTATTCATATCATAACATAACAGCTATTTACAACAGTTTTTATATACAGAATTCATGCAATTACAAAACATGAAACTAATGTGACATAATCACTAACTAAGATAATGAAAACATTTGTGTAACTTCGTTTATATCGAATTTCTTTTGATTACATTTCATATCGAGATAGGTGCGCATTTCTACCTTTAATTCTTTTATCAAATATACATCATGTATCCTGTGCTTTTCACTTCCCAAAAATTCTCTAATATAGTTTCTATAGATAATAAACTGAGCGAAGTTTAAAATAAGATTGACAAGATTCATTTCTCTTCTCTCTATTTCATAACCTATTAAAATATTTTTTCTTTCAAAAATATTTTATATTATTTCCTTCATGTTCATGGCATTGTTTCACGAAACCGTCATAAATGCATTTTCGTCGATAACTTCTGAAACTGAACGCGTGGATGAATTTCAGATTAGAAAGGGATTTATACCTCACATACCTTCATAACACAAATATGATTAGAAATGGCTGTTCAATTTGGACCTACTGTCACGTTACACGTCTGTACAATTCATAAACATCTGCCACCAAAACTGAGTAAATTCTCTACTTTTTCGATGATTCCATTACCTCAATGGGTGTACATCCATTGTTGTGTACTACAAAATTCTTCTTGCTCCCAGAAACTTTTGTAAACGATGTAATCTCATGACCTGAACACATCGATATCTTTGAGGAATTAAGACTATTGTTATACATAATTCAGACACATCATAATTAGACTTAGAAGTGCAAATATGTTTTTTTCGTTAATTGATCTTTCCAGTTATTTGTTCTTTCTGATTATATGCCAAAAGATGTATATGCGACAGTGGGAGGAGATCTCTTCGAGATTATGTCCTTAGATAATAATTCTGACGCTGTGGCTTTGAGATGCCCTGTCGATCTGACTAACATTACTGACTGCTGGTACGAAGAAAGTGCGGCGATGAATCCTAGGGAGGAGAGTATAGCTGTTGTTTGCTGTACTGGTAAGTGTTTCAGAATAATGAGAATGTGTTGACCAGGAGATTTTTAAATAGATGGAGTCACAACATACAGATTGTTAGCCTAAGCTAATACGACATGAAACGGCAAACCAAAATTCGTTTTATTGCATAACTATGCCATATGTACCAACGATTATATTTTACATACCAAAATATAAATTCGTTTGGTTTCATTTCATACAGACTTACTTCACGATAACCAGATGAAATTTATTTAAAAAAATCTAATTGACGAAAAGGTGTTGAAATACCCTTTTAATATAAAACTAATTTATTTGGGATCCGTCAAAGCTATTTCTAAAGAAATTCGTTATGTTGAAACCATGGAAATTCAGACAGACCTTGACATTATTTGCAACTGCACATTCATTTTCTGTGCTGGTTAATTTAAGGAATTAGCTAGCTACGCATTACAAACCTCTCTTAAGCTCTCTAATCTATAAAACTCTTCTGGTAGTTTTGAAACGTCAGACATTAGAGAATTAAGACACTCTGTTTGTTTTATTGCTGTACTGGTAAGTGTTTCAGAATAATGAGAATGTGTTGACCAGGAGATTTTTAAATAGATGGAGTCACAACATACAGATTGTTAGCCTAAGCTAATACGACATGAAACGGCAAACCAAAATTCGTTTTATTGCATAACTATGCCATATGTACCAACGATTATATTTTACATACCAAAATATAAATTCGTTTGGTTTCATTTCATACAGACATCCTTCACGATAACCAGATGAAATTTATAAAAAAAAATCTAATTGACGAAAAGGTGTTGAAATACCCTTTTAATATAAAACTAATTTATTTGGGATCCGTCAAAGCTATTTCTAAAGAAATTCGTTATGTTGAAACCATGGAAATTCAGACAGACCTTGACATTATTTGCAACTGCACATTCATTTTCTGTGCTGGTTAATTTAAGGAATTAGCTAGCTACGCATTACAAACCTCTCTTAAGCTCTCTAATCTATAAAACTCTTCTGGTAGTTTTGAAACGTCAGACATTAGAGAATTAAGACACTCTGTTTGTTTTATTGTTCATCCTTAATAAATTGCCGCGTGTTTGTATTAATTATCATTAGTTGAGACTCTCCACCTAAAACATCTTCGGTATTCGGCACAAATTGTTCAAATTAGGTTCGTAATATAATTCACAGGGATTCTAAGACATTTGCTTGGGCGATAATTGTTCATGGCTTCAATTTGTCAAAGATATAGTACCATATTCTTCAAAAGCACGACCCTGTGCCTGAGATCACGTTTAAGAAAACAAAACTGATATCCCACATTAACTTTCCATGTTTATTTTGTGTAAACGTTTGAGATTTAGTAAAATACGGGCCATAGGGTTAAGGATACGGCTGTAATTGGGTTTCAGGTGATATTGAGGTTCAATTTCGGGGTTAGGTAAAGCGTTCGGATTAACTGGGACAGGCAGTTGGTAAAAAAATCATTACAAGATTCACATGTCTCCTAAACTACAAGTGCTAGAACTTCCAAATGTGTATGGTTATGAATGCTGATTTAGCCTAACTGGCAAGGTAATAGTTTCGTGGTCCATTAAACAAAATCTGTCTTTGAGTTTTAAAGAGCTGTGATTGTTTTTCAACAGTGAACCTGTGTAGCACACCTCGAGGTAGCCCAGTCGGTCTAGAAGGCGGTAAGGTTCCCAACAGCGCTATTTCAATCTCGAGTAGGTACAATGATACGTTGGGTGGACCAAACGCCCGTCTGAACAGTCCTTCTGCGTGGCTCCCCGATATTGCTGACGAAGACCCCTGGCTTCAGATCAACTTCGCTTCCGCTTTTGTCATCACCGCCATCATGACGCAAGGTAGAGCAGATAGTGCAGAACAGTGGGTGACATCGTACATAGTTTCATCCAGTATGGACGGAGCATCTTGGACATATTACCAGGATATCAACACCAACACAGTCAAGGTATTAACACTTGGTTTGCTTTCTTGGTTTGCTTCCTTTTCCCATTTTTCTATTTGCTATAACAACTCTTTTTATAATTTGCATCTTTTACCTTTTTCTTTGTAATTCGAAGGGGCACGTGCTCCCCCTAGTGCCCCCATACAGCCACGACACTGAGTGTAAATATAACATATTCATAAATGACATCCCCTAGAATCCACTTCGTTATTGGATGTTTATTGCTCCACCCTCATATCAACTTATTATTTTAGAGAGAGAGAGAGAGAGAGAGATGGGGAGTAACGCGAAAGATATTACCCAGAAACACAGAAAATTACACAAAAAATAGGCTTTGTACGGCGGAAGTGTTAAAAAAGTAGTAGAAATGTGCAAGCCCCATTTAAGTGACAGAAACAACAACATGTTTTTTTCTAAATCTTGTCGGAAACAGTATATGTGTCCTGATCACAAATTGCTGTGTTTACGTTTAAGTATAAAAACCTAACTGCCTAATAGTATGGCGAAAAAGAGAAAAACAAATGACGTGATGAGAATCTAAAATAAAAGAAAGAAAACTTTATCCAAATTTTCATTATTCGTTCACTTAAAATGACATTTTATTATCGAAAATTGTGTCAACCGACCATTTCAAAAGGAACATAATTGGTTTGATCATTAGATATTCTACACTTCAAACCCAAGTTAATCTCCTTGTGAAATGGTTGTATTATCTCGTTTAGGTCTACACAGGAAACTATGACCCAAATAGTCTTGTGGTGCACACCATCTGTAGGCCGATCGAATGCCGATTTTTTCGTATCCATCCAAAGACGGCCCATGTACACCGGGCCCTCAGGCTAGAACTCACTGGCTATGGACCTCTCAATGACTTATTAGGTGGGTAAGGCTGCATCCTTAAAAAGACCCAGGAGCAAAAGAAGGATTGGAATAATAATAATGTCTCCTTATTCACGCCAATCCAAAATTTATTTGATGAAGCGCCTTTCCTTGCAGTTATAAAGTGCTGCAAACATTGATCCACATGTTTGGGCCACTTAAACAAGGACGTACCACTTTTTTTAAAGCGCTCCTATCCGTCACGTAACGCTGTGACGCTCACGGCGCTAGCTATTATTACCCTTGTTATAGCTGACCTGATACACCAGAGGAACTAGCGCTGAAAAATATCAGGTACCCATTCACACCTGGGAATGTATAGGTTAATGTTTTGCTAATAAGACATTTGTGTCGGGCAGGGAATCGAACTGTGGACCCTGTCATCTTCAGTCCGGGGGCTTATCCACCGCACTACGTCACTTAGTATCCATGTAGGTGATGTAATCGAACGGTTTAAATATTCGGCTGCAGATGCGAAAATTGAGGATTCGATTGGCAAGAACGGCACTGACGACGCTAATACCTGAGTCTAATCCTCAAATCGACTCAAAACTTCGGCCATTCGTATTTTCTTGTTCGTTCTGTAGTTAAGAGGTGGTATTATAAAATTTCCAATTTGCTAATATGCACGCCTGTAGAGTGTTCACTGTAGTTGAACTAAAATGAGTTTTAAAAGTTTTGGTTTTCTGAAAAACTCTTTTAGCAACTAAAAAAAGAAAGAAGACCTAATAGATCTCTTTTATATACTGACAAAGTTTGTCTGTACGTTTGTTGTTTTCAGCTGCGATGAACCATGAACAGGTAAGCTGTTCATGTCCTATCCGAGGGGAAGGAATGGGAGTGGAAGATGGACGAATCCCAGACTCCAGTCTAACCTCCTCGTCCGATTTTGGTTATCTTTACACTGCATCAGATGGAAGATTGAACGGCGGAGTTGCTCTACACGAAAAGGCAGCATGGGTTGCCAAGGATAGTGACACGGCTAAATGGGTCAAGGTGAGTCCAATAACAAAAATTATAATAGTGATCCCCCTGGAAACCCAATTCAGCATGAATGCCGTTCTTCCTAAATTCTAGCACTATCTAACTCCAATATTAACGGTAACGTAAAGTCCAAATGAAACCCTCACTCGCACCCTAAAGATGGTATTAATCATTGATGATTTATATTACCTCGCCCTACTGCTTTGAAAGCAAGTATTTACTTGGTAATTATCTACCTACTTCTAATAAAAAAAAATCGCATTGCCTTGGACAGTTGGAAACTCTCTATTACAGATATTATGTCCCTTTTGCAGCCAACATCAAATTGTATAGAGCTTTGCAGGAATTATGATTATGTTGAAATATGTATGTCCTATCTGTGAAACGTTAGCAGTGTCCTAGTATCTAATTTATTCAAGGAAACCCGTTTACTTTCTGGACTGCACTGTCAGACACTATTGGTGACTAATTGTCATCTTTTTTAATTTGGTAATAACATACATAAAATGAGCTGTAACAGGTACATGAGCATTTGTCTACTTCAATAACCCACTACTTGCATTGGCCAAAATTAAACTGATTGAATCTTTGTGCAGCACAACACGTACGACCATTCGGTATAAGGGTCTGAAAATCAGACTATTAGTAAGGTGATTACAACTTGCTAGGCCGTCTCTTTCCAAAATTATTAATTTATTGAATTTTCTCCAAAAAAAAAAAAATATATATATAATAAGCAGAAGGAAAGGGGATGGAAAGAGAAAGACTCCTAAAAAAGTCATTTATGACATGAAATTGTACATATGTATATATATATATAAATAATTCATAAAATAGTGTGTGGCAAAAATAGTCAACTGTGACTGATTGCCAAACAAAATCAAATCAAGAAGAAGAAGAAGTAGCAATCACTTATGTCAATTCGACAACTAATGATCGTTATTTACCCACAAAAAGCCATTTTCAAACTCTTTCGTTTTGAGGGAAGTTCTAAATAAGTATTGTCTTTCAAATGGAATTTAACCTTTTCATTTTTTGACCTGCAAATGGGATATCGTATATTTAAAGACCGTTAATACTACTGGGTCAGAAGGGATAAGACCACACAGCGAGGTCACTGACAGGTGGCTATCTCATTAACTCAGCTCTCAACTAACATAAGCAAAAGGGTATCATGGGGGACCAACAGGCTCCGATTTGGGAAGTTTTCTATATAGAGGGAGCAAGTAGCTACAAGTAGGACAGTGGGGCTTTAAAGAATTTTTCTACTCTGTTTTTTTTTTATCCGGATCACTTAATAAAGATGTATATATGGAATTTCAAAATTGCGAAAGTTGCGAACTAATATAAACCATGGGATTTAGAGCATGAAACCTCTTTTTCTTCAAATTTGTTTTCGTCGTCATGTCATACACAACACACACACACGCACATACACACCCACACATACATACACGCACACACATGTATATGTATATGTATATTATAAATATATATTACGACTTGGCACGTATTCAATCTCGAAGCTAGGATCCAACTGAGGTACGTGGCTTATCATCGTTTAACTCATCTGCTTTCCACCCACCCGACAAAGGATCAATAAAGATTTAACATTCGACAAACTGTCAGGCAATGTAATTTTCTTTCGCCGAAACTACTTGCCCGTCCTCTTGGTCTAGTTGTTAAGCAGCATTGTTGTTCTAAATCTATCACAAAAGGAAGGACAGCAATGGGAAACTTTGATAGAGCTACGCGCCTGCATTAGTTACAAATGTGTATTTATTTCCAACAGAGTTGCCAATTTTTTGCGTTGTCAAAGTTATTTCATAATATGCATATATATTTATTTATTTATCAGTTTAACTTTTTGCTAAGTCCTATTTCTATTAATGCATTGATGAGTCAGATAGATCTTGGAAAGAACTCTACCGTCACTGGTGTTATCGTACAAGGCAGATGGGGGTGGGAACAATGGATTACTTCTGTCAAGGTATCCTATTCGCTGGATGACGTGACATGGACTTATGCTTTGGGACCACAATGTGGTGAACAAAAAGTGAGTACTAGAATTATGTATTTCAGACCCAACTTGGGAAAACTGAGCACATGTCATTTAGACTATGTACAGTATATAGCCGTTATCGTTCAGTGCGAGACTGTGTGTGCAAAAGGGATCGGGAAATATTGCATCGTCGACCTGTTGTTGATGTATATTAAAGGCGTTGTTTAACAATGTTTCCAGTTTTACAAATCTGAGATGCATGGTTCTACGTGTTATCAGTGTCTGTGATATGGTGTAATAGGTAATAGTGAAGCCCTAAAAAAAAATAGCGATTCAAAATGATCATATAGATATAGTGCGTCAAAAAAGTAAAAATATTTGAGTGACCGGTTTTAACATACTCATTTTCCCCGATACTTTTGTTCAAAGCTGTTTGGCGAACAGTTGTTGACATTTCTAATTCCAATCATAAATATCATGAAAATCAGACAGGCGATTGGCTTGTAAAAGTCATGAGATTCCTGACTGACATAAAGGCTTATAACTATGATTGCAGCATGAGATAAATCCAGGATTATTTTTGGAAATCTTAGACAAAGATACCAAATCCCTATAGAATTATGCGGTGGTTATGTCTATTCCGAAGCGTTGGTCATTAAAATAAAGTTTTATTATATGACGAATCATTAAAGGACTAATTAACCAACAGCATTTTTCTTAAAGCACAAATAAAGTGCATGTTAACTTAGCAAGATTTCCCCATGCCTTTCGTACAGACCGCCTCGCACTGAACTTTAAAGAGTCTATATTCATCGTGCATTATACGCCGTTCTCGGCATATTTACCTGTGCTCGGTTTTCCAAAGTTATGTCTGACTGCATGAATGATATTACATTTGAGGACATCCCAGTAGAATTGCACCCACGAGACCAAAAGTTCCTAAACAGCCATATCCCATAAGGCATCATAAACTGAGGACGCGCTCCCCCTGGAGACGTTGTGACTATTCGCAAGCATTCCGTCGTACATGTAAATGTCATCATATCCGATACTTATACCAAGCTTACATTGGCATCGTTTTTACCCAATTATATCAAGTGTATTCCATATAACAACTCATGTATTTGTATTTCTAATTTTATTTTACTTTGTGAGTTCACATTTGCCATTTAGCTTATGCCGCGAAAGATATTGTGTTATAATTTTTTTAAATTGAACTGAAAAATTCATACAATGTCCTTAAAATGATAATTTCTTCCTCATAATCTTGAGATCTACGCAGCAAACTACGATCACAGCACTCCCGAGACCATACTGTTCCCTCGACCAATCACTGCTCGATACGTCAGAATACACCCACTCACGTGGATTTGGCACCAGGGCATGAGATATGAAGTTCTTGGCATAGCTGAATAAACGGAAGTTTTACAGCATGTAGACTTCTACTACATTTTAATGGTTTTATGTTTAAAAACTATGTTGTTATAATTAATATCATCATTACTATAATTACTATTATCATAATAATATTATCATTATTCATAACTATTATTATTATCATCCTCATCATGCGTATTATCATAGTTACTATTATCACTATTATTATCATTGTTATAATTCATTACTCTGTTATTATATATTATTGTTATTATCATTTTATTATTATTATTATTATCAATAATATAATTATCGTTATCATTATTATTATTTTTTTAATTGCTATTACATTTTGAAAAGTAGGAGTATTTTCTAGTATTGCTAGTAGAGTATAAACACACCGTGGAGGTGTTGTGGTTTGTTTGCTAGGTCTCCAGACTTGAATCACAAGGTACGGGGTTCGAATCCCTGTCACGGCACAAGTGTCCTTGGTAAGACATTAGTTTTACATTATTTTGCCACTCTCCACCCAGGTGAAGTGAATGGATACCCGGTATGAATTAGTTCATTAAAGGGATTGGGTAACTTTGTCTCAGATTATATAATAATAATAATGATGATATACATGTAAAAGTAAAAGTTCAAGTCTTGTTGTTTGACCTCATAATTTCTAACTTTTTTCAATGCAAATGCAATGCAAATGCATTGCTGCCAATCTTTATACTATTAATATATTTTGACTTTGCAATAAATAGATATACGACCAAATACGAGTTTTTTTTGCATTATTAATCTCGCTGAAATTTAGTATTATGAAAAGCATTACTTATTGTTATCCCATGCTCACTGTCTCCCACGAAGTTGGATTTTGAAATAGGGTCGTACTGTACATAATATATATATATTGTTGTACTATAATTTTGCTTTTTTGTTTGCTTTTTCCTTTTAAGGTACTATGTCCCATTTGCAGGCCAAAAAGGTGAAAAGATTAAATTCCAACGGCATTTGAAAGACAATACTAATTTAGAACTTCCCTTAAAAAATGGGGGGGGGGGGGAGGGCTGGGGCTTGAAAATGTCTTTGAGTGAGAAATAACGACTTTAAGTTGTCAAATCGACTTAGGAGCTATAGACCAGGAAGTAATAGTCTGATTTATCAGACCATTGTAACGAATGGCCGTACGTTTTATGCTGCGCAAAGATTCAATCAGTTTAGTTATGGCCATTACAAGAAGTGGGTTATTGATGTAGACAAATGCTCATGTACCCTTTACAGCCCATTTTATGTATGTTAGTACCAAAATGAAGAAAACCAGTCAGTCTGTCAATAGTGTCTGACAGTGAAGTCTAGCAAGTAAACGGGTTTCCTTGCATAATTTGAATATTATGACACTGCTAACGTTTAAATTTCAGAGATAGGAGATACATGACATATTCATAATTCCTGCAAAGTTCGACAGAATTTGATGTTGGCTGCAAAAGGGATATAGTAAACGTAGACTTAAGTCATATTTACTTCACAAGTATGTCGATGACACATGAATGTGTTATCAAGCTTTATTGTTTATGTACTGTAACATACTTAACTCTACTCTCGATTTATTTTTCGTTATTTCTTGACTTTGACATAATCCCCATTATCCCTTTTCTTTTTCTTCTTCTTTCTCATCTGTACATATACCATATATTCCTTCTTGAACTCTGCACTCAGAGAG